ACGGACGGACGGACGGACGGACGGACGGACGGACGGACGGACGGACGGACGGACGGACAGAAAAGCTGTTCACAAGGGAGCAAGAGCAGAAGAAGCCACACAAAAATAAGAACACATGCATGTTTAACCCTTTGTGAGGAAAAGAATTAAACACTTGTTTAGTTCAATCTTTCCTCTCCTTTTATTTATTGAGGGTTTTGTTTTTTTGTTTTTTTAGTACATAGAGAGTTTTGGGATGAGGAGACTCAAACCCTCCTGGAAAGCGAAGTTTGGCGAGTTTGTTGTAAGAAGAACTTATTAGGCAAATCCCTCAACTTATTAAAATATTGTTATTTCATAAGCCTTGTGAAATTTGCTTCATTACACACAAATGCCACTCAGCCTCAGCAGAAGAGGGGAAAAGCTTTTTCAAGGCAGAACCACCCACGCTAATTGAGACACAAGAAAAAGAGGAACGGTGGCAGAGAAGTTTCCAGGAAGACTCAAACTCATGGACAGGGAGACAAAGAATCTGAAATGCTTGCAAATGCATCCATTAATCCACACCTCTTCTTTGTGGCTGATGCTCTGAACGCTGGACACTTTGGCTCACAGTCCACCCTCTCTGTCATTAAGACAGGGAGGAGGGTTAAAACACCGCATCCCATCCTGAATACGTTCCCCCCCCCTTTTTTTAATGCAAGGTAGCGTAATTAATTTCACATTTAAGGTGGCCCAGAAAATTGCATATGCCCACGCAGCATGGACAGGGATTTAAAAAAAAAATAAGTGTGTATTGGAAAGCAAGCCTCTCAAGGGGTTGAGAGCTCCCAGGGCTGGCATGAAGCAAACACAGAGGAGCTAAGCAAGGACCATTGAGAAATCTGCATTTCGAGTGCATTAAGAATAAGAGAAGATGCTCAGCTGTTCTGGCTTCTTGTTCTATCTGAATGCATCCAGTACTTCAACAGGAACTACAGCCTAACAAAGTACATATTTTTCCGTGTATAAGATGCCCTCATGTATGAGACACCCTCCACTTTTCTAATCCAAAATCAAGAAATATAAGTGGGGCTTAGCAAGTGTAGGGGGAAGGGATCAAAGCACTGCAGGATCGCTTTGATCCCTGCTTTCCTCTCCACTTGTTTTTGTTCTCTCCTCAGCTTACTTCCGTCTATAAGACGACCCTCAATTTTTAGTCTAAAGATTTTAGATGAAAGTATAGTCTTATATATGGAAAAATACGGTAACTTATCAAGGAACTGCTAGAGGCTCAGCTCGTGAAAAGGCTTGGGAGATATCATATTGGCAAGCATTCTTCCCTCAAGTGGAGTGTTACTGAAGCAGGAACGGGAATCCCACAGAAGTAGGTGGAAATACAAATTATTTCAAGATGAAAATTCAGTCTTCAGCCTTACCTATATGTTGGCGCGAAGGCTTTGGATTCCCAAGCCACTCTGGGCATGGCGATGCCCTGGGAGCCCAGGACAAGCTGAAGCAAAAGCCCGTCCAGTTGAGATTTACGGATTGACAGAAAAACCACTGGAACATCAGGCTGGAAACAGGGAAGAAGAGAGCAGGGATAAAATCCTGGCAACAAGAGAAACACATGTTGCCTTGGAGGGATCCAGAGGAAAAAGGATCGTAGAACAGAAGCGACATTTAAGTGCTCCGGAGACCATCAACAGCCAAATCCTAGCTCAGGAATCACAGAAGACTCTTGAGTAGGGCCTTTTGGGTGGGGGGGGGAGGGGTAGGTTAATCTGTAAAACAACTGCATTATCTCCTGACACCAAGCTAGTACCTCTTTATAAGAGACCAGCATTTAGGATTTAATCACTGCCCAAAAATCTCTAAACTTCATTAAAGAAATTCTCTTCTGTAAACTTTCATTACAGAAATTCTCTTCCGACAGGTCTTAAAAGGTGAATATCATTACCCTGTACTGCAGGTGGAAACCAAGGCTAGAACATAATAGCTTGCACAAGGCTAGAAGGAGTTTTTTTCACTTGCTTGTTTTGAACTTCGTTTTTTAAAGGAGACATTGCACATGTATATGAATGTAACTAACCCCCAATGCTGAAAATGAACCAAAATTCAAGTTTACCTGCATTTGACATTCTGGTGGAAGTGGACTGAAAACTTGCCGCATTCTCAGACCTTTGTTTCCGAGAAGAAACTCAAATGCACTCAGCAACTAAGGGTATGTTATCAGCACAAGAAGCAATGTGGGAATAAAACCCAGGGGCTTCCACGTGTTCCAGCATCTTAAAGCACAACTGTGTTGCTGTGAGACTCAGCCACCACCCCCCCCGACCCGCGTCTTCAGCAAGGACAGGACGTCTACACCGCTTACCATCTGCGCAGCCTGGCGCACCATCTCCAGTTGCCCTTTATGTACGATCACGCTGAGGAACATCTGATTGAGGAGTTTTAGCAGAACCCAATGGCAAAACCTGAAAGGGTAAAAGAGAGCAGTGAGAGAAAACCTTGGGGAACAAATTCTCCCAACAATTCCGACGGCAGATTTAAGACTAACAGATTTACTACAGTATGACTATTCAGAAGCTTGCAATCCTACTCCCCATGACAACACAATATCTTCTTTTTTCAGATATTAATACAGCACATGAGCCCAATCATGTAAGACCCAATGGCTCAATAAGACACCTTGTCAACCACAACATCCAACCAGATGCCTCTGGAAAACCCAGAGGAGGACATGAGGAGGAAAAGCCCAGTGTGGTTCCTCAGCAACACGTGTTTAGAAGAACAGCATCTTCAATGCTGGAGATGGTACACAGTCATCATAAGTAGGAGTATCTGATTCCCACACAAAACCATTAGCACTGCAAACTTGAAATTAACGTCCCCTGCCTTTGAGCTCTTAGCTCAAGGCAGTGGGCAGTAATACATTAAGACTTTAATTAATTAATAAAAATCATAATTTATTGGATTATTAATTAAATTAGTAATTTAATAAAATATGACTTTTATTACGACTGCTTGCCTGTTCTAGGGAGCCGCCTGCCATCTCCCACCTAGATTACTAGTCAAGCCAATATTTGTTTCAGTTGAACAATGAGGTTTTCCCACCAGGCCCACCCATGCTGCAATAAACGTTAAGTGAAAAAAACGTTAAACGAAGCAAACGTTATGCGAGGCACCACTGTATTTGTTTCAGTTGAACAATGAGGTTTTCCCACCAGGCCCACCCATGCTGCTTGACTCTTTTATTTCTAGCATCTCTCCTTTCATTTCTTCCCCTCCACAAAAAGGCATGTTGACTGGGGAGAGCAAGTCCCGTTGTGCTCTGGTGTGCTTACTTCTGAGATGGCAACCCCAGGATTGAACTCAGAGTCTTACCAGCGAAGAAAATGCATGATTTCACTGATAGACACTAGGATTTCTAACACTAGTTTCAGCACAGTAGCCTTTGGAATTAGTTGCCGAATGGCAAATCAACGCTGATCATCATCATTATCATCTTAGAACTTCAGAGCTGCTGGAAGGGAACCTATGATGCCCATCCTGTTTATTCTACGGGCCTACTTGAACTGGAACGATCAAGCAGGATTCTACCTTTGTTCTACTAATTTCTCCAATGAGACTGGATCACTCTGCAGTTAGGCACCTGGCTGTGGAGCCAGAGGTTGGGAGTTCGATTCCCCCACTGGGCCTTCTTGACAAAGGGCTGGACTTGATGATCCCACAGGGTCCCTTCCAGCTCTGCAGTTCTAAGATGATGATTATAAACCCTGGCCAGTCACTCCCTGAACGAGAGTGCTAAGAGTAAACGGTAGCAGTTCCAGCAATGAAATGCTTTTAACTAACAAGCCACCAGGCAGAGCTTTTATCTACAGGAACAGAATGTCATCCCCGTCTATCATCATAATCGAAAGGATGATTTCTGTCCAGCTCAGAAGGATGTCTCTCAAGAAATGGGGGAAGTTTCCTGAAAACTGCCAAGAAATTCAACTCTCTTGTTCTTCCTTTTTCTCTCCTTCTCTTAGACACACACAGAGAGAGCGAGAGAGCGCACTCCTTCCCCATCATCACCCCAGCCCACACAGACCCTCTTTTCTTAGGCAGCACCTGGGAAAAGAGGGCGGCTGAGCTAATGAACAATTTCTCCAAGTTAGCTGCACGCAAACCACCTTTGCTTTTCCCATTAGTTTCTAAAGTGTGTTAATTTGAAGTGGATGAAAGGTGGTGGGTTAACAAGAATCCTCTCCTTCTCTACAGCCTTCATCTGCAGGTTTCAAAGCACTTCCGGAAGGAAGTCGGCTTTCATTACTTCTCTCGCTTTCTTCCCCCACAACCGCCTTTCTCCTCTTCTTAAAAACCTGTGAGGGTTTAACCCAGGGTCCTGTAAAAAACACTGCAATCCTGAATGGTCCCCAACCATCTCAAGAATTCCAAGGGCACTATTTCAAATGACAGCTATATTGTGCTATAATAGATTTCTAGACAAGAGTGACCCCAATCACCAAGTTCTTGCACTATGTATTTGCAATCTAGACTTCATAAACCCTCTCTTAATTTCTCAGTTTTCTGTGCATCCGGGACAACAATTCAACAAAATACGGACATCCAGTCTCGTGCCAGAAAAGGCTCGGGAAATGAGAAATTCTAATAGTATCCACAAATATTGCACCTGATGACTAATAGCTGAGAGCAGACACTACTAAACATTTGCATGATTTTAACAAAAATCATTTTATTATGATGCTTAATTAATCATCTGCTACTTAAACAGGCTGCCTGGCTGAATTTATTAATTTATTTTATTTATATCCCGGTCTGCTACTTAAACAGGCTGCCTGCCTGAATGACTCGTTCCTTGTTTTCATTTTGGAAACGAAAACATCCTTAGAAATTTCTTAGCAAGGGTTCCTTGTTTTCATTTTGGAAATGAAAACATCCTTAGAAATTTCTTAGCAAGGAGCAGTATCCTGTTGCCTGAGACAAGAGCAGAAATTCCGCCCCTACCCTCTGGCCCCCTTGCTTGACACACGACTCAACTAGGGCGTCTTCTGGTTTTTTGGGCAAACTCCATAGACTCTGAGTGATCCATATGGCAGAAGCTGAAGCCAGGCAGAAACTAAACATGGAGAGTGCAGCCTGGCAGGGTTTGAAGGAGATTCCTCTCAGGATGGCTCTGGCAGAGTCTGCTTGCTTAGAGAAAGCTTTCTGTTTACAAGGATGTAAATTCTTGTTTCACTTCTCCTGCAGGCAGGGCTGAGACATGACAAGGGTGTCTTCCACACCAGTTCTAATGGCAATTAAAATCCCAGGGCTTTTGACAGAATTCCTGCATGGGCGGGAAGGATTCTTTGCACAAAAATGGCCAACTTTGCACAAAATTGCCCTGTTTGTGCAAAACGGCACCATTTGCGAATGGAGCAAATTCTCCCAAATTCGGATGACGGCTGCTTTGTTTAAGATCTCAACCACCAGCTGGGTCGTAGTCACCTTTTTAAGAAACAGCCAGTCCTTCCATGTTTGCTCTCTGCATGCGTTCTTTACTCTACGCAGGGAAAGGAGACTTAGAGGCATTTCACCCAAATTATAGATACCACAAGGAGCGAAAGAGAGGGCTTTCAAAATTCCTTCTCAGGTGTCTGGTCCCTTAGAGACAAGCATAACTGAGAAAAACAAATTTAACAAATATCTTTTTTTTTCCCCATCCCTCGTTAAGAAGAGATCGCCTTGGGTTGCTACCAAGAAAGGAGCACCTAAATGGATTGGGCTCTTTGACACCTCCTGGTGATGGTGCTTTGTGCACAGAGCTGAGCAAGTAGAGGGGACAGAGACACCCTACAGCTTGGTCGGGATTCCCCTAAGTGGCTCTCCCTGGACCACCAGATCAAGGATCCTTTGGATCTGATGTACATACTCTGCATCCTCTCCACTGCATCCTCTTTGGCTGCTCCGGACAATGACAGAAAACTGAACAGTCAGCTGGGCCCTTCACGAGGGTCTCCCCACGCTATTCAGCCCTGGAAGCTGCAGGTTGTGGGCCAGCCAGCCCCCACTCACCCAACTGGGATAATGAGTTTGAGTCCGTAGCCCACCCACCCCCAAACCAATGTTTTATGCCCTCTGGGAACCAGTGACCCATGAGATGCGACCCTGAACGTCAAAAGAGGTCCAAGATTTCTCTATAATATGTAGGCGTTCCACGTCAGACCTGCAAACGGTTTCCCAGCTAGCTAGCTGATAAGGAAAGCAATCCCTAAGTGGTGGTATCTGCACCCTAACAGATAAAACAGCTGACCTGTCCCAGCCTCTGGCCATAAATGTCATCCTGTTCCATTTCTTAAGAAGCATAAGCATCTCCACCACTTGAAAGCCACCCTTCCTCGCCATTTGCTGCTTCATACCTCAGTAGAAGAGGAGAGAGAGAAGCCTGTATCTGGAGAAGGATCTGGTGGACTTCTCTCATCCATTGTGCCACAGATAGGCTAGCTGCTGGCGTATCCTCTTTGCCCTGATGCGCCTTCTTAGACACAACATCTTGCACTCTGGACAGGGGGCAAAACAGCAGGAATGAAAATAACTTGGCACAACATCCAAGCAACATCCCAGGGAGAAAAACCTGTGGATCAGTGTTAAATGCATCACTGTGTTACATGTACAATGGCTGCACTGAGAAAATACTTTTCTCACATGAGTCTGAATCTTGCCCCCAAAAGCCCTGCTCACCAAAACGGGTTGCGGTTATGAGGTTGTCATCTGGCAGACCTTTCAATCTAGAGCACTGGAATGGAGATTAAATCGTCACCTCTGAAGATGCAGACCATGAGGGCCATAAACCTATTGGCAATTCATGCTTGCAAAAGGAAAATCATCGGACTCTTGGTGGTAAACCTCTGCTCCTTAATGAGGTGCGGGTTGCCCTCCTTGACACATGTCCAGCTGTGCATCCAGGAACGCAACCCAGCACCTTGTTAATGAGTCGGCATCCCTGATTTTTCCTTCTGAAAGCATAAATCACAGATAAGGCGATAAAGCATCTTCTTCAAGGCTGTACATCAAGTTCTAGGTTTCTGCCCTGAGGTCACCTACGGTGTTAAAAAAATCCTTACCAGTCTTTGAAGCACAAACACTGGGCAACAAAATCTGTAGTAGACCCAAAAGGGATAATGAGGGAAGAGAAAAGTGTAAGGGTCAAAAAGAGCACAATGCCAGCTTCCAGCTCTCTGCAAATCCTCTCTTACTATCATGCAACTGGTGGAGACAGACATCAAATAGCAAGGTAGAGGCAATACCTTTAACTGACCATTAAGAATATATATATAGAGAGAGAAAGAGAGCAAGCTTTCGATGATAAAGCATCTTCTTCAAACTTATCTGCTGTTTTTAATGTCCCAAATTCACATGGTCAATGGTGTAGAGGCCAGGTAAGCTTCTTAGATGGAAGCAGTTGCAGCCGGCATGTTGGTATCAAGCTCTTCTTCCATTTGAAATTTCTGGCCACTCTCTTCAAACCGAGGACAGTTACAGGCCATCTGGGCCCCCTGTCCTTCTCCCCTTCCTTCTTTTTTGAAACTCAAAAAAGTTTCTCTTTTGCTAGGGGAGGAAAGGCTGCTCAATTAACATGGCCTGCCTCTTAATTTGGGATTAGGAATTTAGTTAAACCACCAGGAACAGCCAAATTAAAGCCAAATAAATAAGATTTTCCTGATGGATGCTCTCTTTATCATGATATTCTTAACGGACGATTAAAGGCATCACCGGCTCCTGCATTTGTATCGTTTCCATGATCATGAATTAGAAATCCGTTCTTCAGGGAATTCTGGGCAGGGCAGAAAAATTATGAACGAATGTCCCCAAAAGAAGGCATTTTTAATCCACGAAAATGTGCATTCATTGTTGAATGCTTTTAGTGGTCTCGTAAAGGGGTGGCACTCCTTCTACACTTTCAGTAAGTCTGAGTAGCACCTCTGGCAAGGACTTGACAAAAGAGGAGGGGTGTTTCGATGAGTCCATCCCTTTCACAACGCCGCTCGTATCTGCTTATAGTCAAGCGCATGAATGCTGTCTTGTGCATTTTCGTGAACGAATTATTACGAAACTCCCCTTGCACAAGAGTGAATTGCCAAGATGATACAAATCTCTGTACGTGGAATGAGTCCAAAACCAGAGTTCAGGTATTCCTGGACTATGGAAGGTACTCCACTGCTTTGTCCTTTGAGACACTTCAATTCCTTTCTCTGATTTGCGAGAGATGCTCACCGTAATCATGACTGTGTGCCCTCAAGTCAGTTCTATCTTAGGGTGACCCTTTTCATCGTGTTTTCTAGGGGGAGAGTACTCAGAAGTGCTTTACCATCTCCTTCCACCCAGGCTGGCTGTACTCTTAGGAGGCACAGCAGTGGGGAATCGAACTCCCAACTCCCTAAATCACTGAGCTACCCAGCAACATAACAGTAAGACTTGCATTCATTGCCCCAAAAGAAAGAGAAAGGGTAGCATTCTAAAATGAAGTTGTATAACCTGATGGATGCAGTCATGAAAGGACAATAAGTTTGCCACTGGATCCATCTCTACTGTCGGGGGCCTTGTGTGCTTTCAGCATCTTCACTTCCTTTTCTTGCATGGCCACCTTGGCCCAGAAAGGTCCAAGACATACACCATATGAAGAGAAGAGCAGAAACCTTTCCCTAAGTGTCCTTCAGGCCAATTTTTAAAAGACATCTGGAGTTAATAATTTTAATAAAAACTCTACACTATTTAGAATGAACCAAGATAAGAGTTTTTTGGGTGTGTGGTGCATTAACCAGACACAAGGGACACAATCCACACGTGACAGCATTTTTGGAATCACTTGTCAGAAGACACGCTCGATCCCCATGAGATCCTGGCAGCATCACCCGAACAATCTCTGCTCCTCGCAAGCCATTTTTAGAGATCCTTTCCTGTCCTACGCAGGCTCTGCGGCAGATGATGTGATCGCTACACGCCCCAGCACGCCACCCACCACCTTTGGGTGCCATGCACGACACTGCGTCTGAACTGAGCAGGAAAAAAATGTCAAAATGAGACTTGCAACTGGCACTGCGTTGGCCGTCTGAACTGAGCAGAAAAATGTCAAAATGAGACTTGCAACTGGCTGGCAGAGGAAGGGCGAGCCATCCCAGGGGGCGATCCGAGAACTGCCAAGGCGCATGCGTGATCACACTAGAAAGGGTTGCTATTTCAAAAAAAGGAGAGAGAGAGAGAGAGACCCAAAATGGACATCTCCACTTTCTCTCTGGGAAGTCTGGGTAATGGGAATTTCCTGGGGAAACCCCTACCCCAAGGGCCTTCAGCAGAAAGCTGATCAATCCTGGAAACCATCAGGAGGTGGGTCGCAAGGGTCATTTTTCGCTGGGGAAAAGGAACGGTGCATTTTTCATTGAGGAGAACTCTAGTGTGGCCATAAGAACTCCAAAAAAGACCCCAGAGGCCACCCACGGCCCACAGATTGCTCATCCCCTACACAGAAATAAAAGACAAGAGGACGAGGTACGGAAGAAGCAGCCATTTAGGCGGTCCAGGCAGAGGCAGGCAGGCAGACAAGTGGAAGAGCGACTGCCTGTTAAAGTGAAGAGTTCTGTCCATCATCCCTGCCCTGGTGCCGTCACACCAGCTTGTCACTGCTGCCGTCGCCTGGCGCACCTCTCATTATTATCTCATTGACACCGGAGGAGAATCCAACAGGCCACCACCAGGCAGATGGGGAAACAGATGTTCAGACACATCAGGAGCCCTGATAGCACAAAGCAAACAGAACAGGGGAGAACAAGCAGCCACGGCTGCCAAAGACAGTGTCAATAAGTGTGACAGGTGGAGCTTTCCACAATGGAGAAGTGGCCGGCTACTCGGAAGAGCACGCCTGGGGGACGGAGCAGGCTTTGCTCTCACCATCAGGGGAATAAGAGGGGCGATGAGGTTTACTTCTCATCATCTTTTCTACAGATGTTTATTATGAAAAAGGGGAACCAAAATGAACCAAAAATCAAAGCTTCTCTTCTCCGAAAGAAATTTGGAAACTTTTTCAGTTAGATGGAAAAGCAGGCTAGGGTGCAGGGCCCATGATAGCATCTGGGTAGCTCTGGAGAAAAAAACAGACAAGCTGTCCAGCCCCAATGGTTCGAGAACCCCAAATGAGAAATCTGTTTAAGCCCAGTACCGCTCACTGTGGAAGATCCTTTCCTGGAGATCACCAGTGGTCTCAGCGCAAAACGTCCAGTCGTTCACGGCGAGAAAATAGCAGAGCCTCCTCACTAGCCAACCTCTGTACCTGGGGGAGAAAGAGAGCACTCATAAATGCAAAAAACGGGTAAAAAGTAGACAGACAAAATCTTTATTGTCTCGCCACTAATACCATTCTGTAAGTATTTATCAATAAATAGACTATGAAGTAAAATAATACGGATATTTGTACATACAATTACTATAATATTTGCTACCTGTTTGATTATTTAAACCAATTTAATTGGAGATCTCCAATGAGGACAATAATAAAACCAGCAAATTTTAAAAAAAAAAGGAACGGGTACATCCACTGAAATCTCAGGTCAAAAAAGAGGGAACTGTTTTCTGAGGAGGTAGAAAATATTTATTATAGAGTACAATGCCTGATGTGTTTTGGGCATATCAACCTTCTTCCAGGTCACATTTATTAAATTCTAAAATTAGCTCTTTCTCTGTTTCTTCAATCTATAACTAGCTCCATTAAATCAACTGCGAAGCAGCCACATGGAATCCATGTCAAATCCCCAGCCCTCGTACTCCCAGCCATTCTGCTGAACGCCTCCTGGCCAAGTCACAATTCCTGAAATATCATTACAGTACTTAAGAATCAGGAACGGCAGTGTCAAGCCCTCGTCATCACCATCATCTTAGAACTGCAGAGCTGGAACTATGTGGATCATTGGGCTCAGCCCATGAAGGAGGCCCAGTAAGGAATCGAACTTGCAACCTATAGCAACTCGAGTTTGTTGAACAAACCAGTTTAACCAAACAAGGCCTCGCAACTGACTAGCACACATTGGCTCAATATCAGTACGACATACATAATTCACAGAACTTTGGTAAGGTGATATGCATAACTCAGATTTTAACATGCATGCAATGATTGACTGATGATGACTTTCTTTGGGATAGGATTTCATCATGCCCCAACCACCCCCAGTCCTGCCGGCCTCCTTTCCGAACCCTACAGCAGTAAGCGACCCACATTATTCACACCACAGAGTGATGGGGTTTCACTTTACACTCCTTCTCCCTGGTAAAAAAAAAAAGGTATGAACCTTTGCTTTGGCTGCTATTATCAATCAAGTGCTTTCTCTCATTCCTGCTGTTAATAACACTTAGCACTTTAGGGATTTCAGTTTTCAAAGAACTTCGGAAACTACAATTAAAGTAATTAGGAAACGGGCTAATGAGAATCAAGTCTTTAATCCTCACACAACTCCTATGAGGTAGTAAGCTTTGTTATCTACAATTTAATTTGGAAGGGACGGGGGTGGGTGGCGGGAGCAGGAAGGAAGGGAACTTAAGACACACACAGAGTAAATGACTAACTCGAGGCAACACAACCTTGCCTGAAGGGTGACCCAAGCCATTTTGGGGACCCAACGGCAGCTCCCTTCTAATTAACACAGGGCGTAATCCACGGGGAAGTTCTCTAGCATGAACCGCACTGAAATAAACAGGACTGCAGCATTGTTAACTTCAATGGCGAGAGGCAGGAGTCGTTGATTGATTGGTGAGCTCACTGAACTATTCTTCCACCTTTCCTCCAGTAAACTCAAGGTGGTGTAAACTGCTTTCCTCCTTCCAGCTTTATCTTCACAATACCCCTTATGACGTGGGTTGGACTTGGTCCAAGGTTATGCCATAACTGCATGGCTCAACAGGGACCAGACTCTAGGGCCAGGAGCGGACTTTGGGGATGGCCGCCAGCGAGAAGAATAAAATCCTTAACAAAGGTAAGAGTCTGAGTGTAAGTAACAGCAGGAGTTTCTCCTCCCTCCAGGATTAAGCAAGTTAGCATGCTTTATTTCATGACTGGTCTTCGGGATAATAAACAAGTGCATCCTTTTCTGATTTCACGAACATGGGAAGTCTACATAATTATTTCATGACTGGTCTTCGGGACAATAAACAAGTGCATCCTTTCACTTCTGATTTCACGAACATGGGAAGTCTACATCAGTCACCTCTCCACTAAATCAATGTGTCTCCAGCCTTAATTGAGGGCTCCTTCTCATGTCTTTTTCTGGCCCAGGTCTCCTCTGTCCCAGCTTCCAAAACTCTAACCACTCTACTGCCTTGTATTTCTTAGTACATAAATGCCTCCCCTGATTGCATTACAACCAGAATTCAAGATGCATGCCCATCTGATACTCATTTTCCCACCTCAATGCTTGTGTGATGAGACACTCAGATACGACATCTAGACTGCAAAAAGAAAAGTGTAACCAAGCACACATTCACCCCGCTGCATTTACTTGCCAGTTTGGCTCAGATACGACATCTAGATTGCAAACAAACAAACAAAAAAGTGTAACCAAGCACACGTTCACCCCGCTGCATTTACTTGCCAGTTTGGTACAGTTTTAGAGTTTTGCAGGCTATGATGGACCACCTGCCATCTCAGCCAAAGAAATGTCTAACCACAACAATGCCAAGAAGAACAAGCATTATTCCTTAAAACCCTAGGTCATCACAATATATTGACAGCAACACAAAACATATATAGCACTAATATATTTGCACATCAATATAAGATAATAGAGCTTCCCTCCTTTCTCAAGATTTTAGATGCTTGCCATGTACTTCCTTTGGTGCCAGAGCAAATTTTGCTACTTGATAGCTGGTAGTTACCTCCCTACCCGCAAGCAGTGTACGAAGTTGAGTCAAAGGAGTGGGGGGCTATCACACAGAGATCTTAAAATGCCAGCGAGAGGTTAACTTCTGGGTTGCTCATATAAAGGGCAACTTAATAAATAATGGAAAGAGTCTTCGACCTCTCCTGATCCACAGATACAGAGTCTTTGATGAAATGGGACATTACCATATCTCCCCTCCAAAATGGCGGATGGCAGACACTGAAAATGCAAAACTGTGAATGCTTTTCTTAAAGGGGCTGAAGTTAGATTAACAAAATAATTCTCCAAACCAAATGATGTTTTGTACAAGGGGAACCCATGAGAATAGGACGTCTGTGAGATGGCACATAAATCCAGCCACTTAGAGGAAAGACGGATTTTTCTTTCACCAGCTCCTTAACTCGGTGAGAGGCAAAAGTGGGCAAAGACTCCGTGCCAATCCCACAGTTCTGTCAAATGGGTCTAAATGAATTTACCCAGGAGTCTCGAGAAGGACTCTGGAGCAGTTCTTTACAGCAATTCTTTGGAAGGAGAGAGTCGCTCACACTGGCCAATTTCAACCAATACATGGCTGGTGCAATGTGGGAGTGTGTTTCAATTGGGATCAGCCCCGGCAATGTGAGTTTTCTGTCAGAGTTCCCAATAAATACAGAAGGCATAAAGGCAGCCCAAAGGGAAACGCAGTAGGAGAAAACTAGTTAGGGGGAAAACGGCCAGTGTAAACAGCAGGATTTCTGCCATTAGGGTGTTCTTACAAAGAATTATAGGAGATAAACCTGCATTGCATCATCACATGAATGCCGTATAGACTCCTGTAGAATATGGCATCCTTAAACTATCATGGGATAAGTAGTTCCAGAATCTTATGGCTTATTAAGGATACTAAGAAGGCAGAAGTAGAGTCTGTGTGTTCTAAAAATGTGAGCATAAGAAGGTCAGATCTTTAGAAATTCCTTCTCCTGCTCCCCTTCCTTCCTTCCATCCATTCATTCTTCTTACCTGGTGTTTTCTTCTGTTATCTTTATCACACTGCAAAATCCCAGTGAAGTAAGGTGTTTCTGGAAGAGGGATTCCTGGATACAGAGAGAGGACAAAAATCAAGTCTAGCATCATCACCCTCTTCTTCCTCTACCACCCTTGAGTAATTTTATTTATTTTGTTTCTTTCTTTAAATATCCTTAAGAGGACCCAAGGCAGCTCACATCAAAAGACAACATATAAAGCTAAAAACAGCAAATCTACAAATACTAAAAAGGATCAGATAAATAGTAAACAAAATCAACACCAAAGTGGTAAGGTACAGCCGCCCATTTAAGAACCCCACTCAGTCAGCCAATCAATCACTCACTTGGGGGAAGCCTGCCTGACGAGAAAGGTTTTGGCCTGCTTGTGGATGGACACAGCAAAGAGGGGGCCAGCTTGGCCTCCAGTGGGAGGCAGTTCCACAGTCTTGGAACAGCCACAGAGAAGACCCTCTCCTGTGTCCCCACCAAACGCACCTGTGAAGGTGATGGGACCAAGAGAAAGGCCTCTTGTGATCTTAATACCTGAGCAGACTCAAGGGAAACACTGTCTTTGGGATAGCTTGGGCTCAAGACATGCAGGGTTTTATAAGTTAGAACCAGCACTTTCCGCTGGGCCCAGAAACAGATCGGCAGCCAGCAGAGCTGCTGTGACAGGGTATGTGTGTGTGTGTGTATGTGTGGTCCCTATAACTTGCATCAGTCATCAATCAGGCGGCAGCCTTTTGAGCCAGCTCTAGTTTCTGAACACTCTTCAAAGGCAGCCCCCCATGGAGAGCGTTAGCAGTAATCTTGTGTCACCCTGGCCAGATCAGACCTCTCCAGTTAGAAAGAAGAGGAGCACAAAGCAAGGGTAAGGCTCATTTTTCTCTCCTGACCAAATCCATCCTGCTTGATCAGATAAGGGAAGGGCTTTTTCACCACCACCCCCAGCAGTGGCCAATGAGATGATTTCAAAAAGCTCACAATCTAAACGGCTTCGGAAAATGGACATTCCTTTTCCTGATCGTGACACAAAGAGACCCCCATCTTTCATGATTATTTTTTTGTCTAACCCTTTTACAAAGCCATCTAAACTAGCATCTTCCTGCGATAAACTCCATTAGTGGATTATGCATTGTGTGAAGAAAGCATGTCCTTTTGCCTTTCCTAAGCCTACTGCTGTTCAGTTTCATTAGATAACCCTGAATTCGGGTATTTTGGGATGGAGGAAGGGATTAGGGTGCAGGAGAGAAAGATCGAGATTCCTCAGTGTATCAGAAAAAGATGATAATGGCTGAAATCCAAGAGTAAATTGCAACTAGGATAAACCCACTGAATAAGTGGGGATTTGGTAAGTCAACACCTCCATAAGTAATGAGTCTACTCTAGTTGTAATTTACCACTGGATTTTAGCTCATCATTCACAAAAGGGGTGTGCAAATAAATTCATTAGTCTTAAAAACATCACAACTTTTTTTTTCTGGAAACAAATAGGCATGGCTCCATTTTCCATTCAACTTTTCTATTTCTCTTTTCTGCCCATGTGGCACAACTGTTGCACAAAGAACTGGTTGCTGTTTTCTAAAATAAATGCTGCAGCATAAATGGACAATTTATTATATCCAGGACACAGTGGCATGCCAGAGATTTTGGGTTACAACCAAGAAACCATGTATGGCTGACTGCAGAGACCCTGAAATTGTCAGAATACTTTTTAAGGATGCTTATAAATAAGACTGCCCCCTGCTCCTTTCTAAAGGCTAAAGTAGACTTGCTAAATTCAGTGTATTCTTCAAAATTAGGTTGCTAGATGCTTTTTTTATAAATAAAACAAACAAACCCATACCTTCAACATGGATGAGTTGGGAATCCTACGTTTCTTTTTGTTAATAACAGTATGGAGCCAAGACACTACTCCAGATTAATGTAGACTATAAAAGGTGTGCCATTTTATGAGCAGCAAAAGACTGTGGGATGACACGGATCCTACCACTACAGAGAAAGTCACCAAATCATGCAGCCCAAAGACCCTGAGGTTCAACAGAGCATATATGGGCTATGGGGGCCTTTCTCTGGAACCCTGTTCTTCCATCCTTCAAACTCTAGGAGATACACCCTTTTCGGAACCGTCTCCTTGGCCACCAACGCCTTACCCAGCTCTTTGGAGTGCATCGCTGGCAGCAGCGCCCAACAAACGGACGGCATTTGCCCAAAAAGGGTATGACAATTTCCATCTTCAGCCCCAAATCTGAAGGCCAGGATTTCATCTAAAAGAAGAAGCAAAGACCTGTTTACTACGCTCCCTACGGTGCCCAAGTCTTCAAATCAGCATGCATTTTAATTGAACATTCATGCATTAGCAGATCCCGAGCCTGCAACGCCATGGCAGCCCAGATTTTCTTCCCTCTCCTGAAACCCATCTGTGCAGCTGAAGAGCAAGTCTTGGGGGAAAATGAGTAGCATGAGGGTTCTTTTCCTGACAAAGCAACCAGCAAGTATTTTAAGGGTATTTCACTGCAATTTCCAGTCTCTTGATCAGAACTCTTCAAAACAGCAAAACCACACACACACACCTACTGTATTTCTCGCAGTATGTAATTTTATTTTTTTGGCTTGTTTAAGCACAAGAGTCAACATAGTCTGGGATATAAGGTTTAAAGATGCTGCCTATTCCAATCTTGAAGGACAAGTGTGTTGCCATCTTTTCCACCCTAACAAACATCTACCCAACAAGCTGATGTGTCCTGCGATTCTCTCCCCACCCCCAAAACACCCTCTTTGCTTAGAAGAAATCCTAGCTCAACCCAGGGAGGTGCTTCACGTTAAGGCTGCAAAGTTTCGACCCAACGCCATCCCTTACCAAACAAGACTCCCATGTTTTCGGCACAGCCCACATACCTGTTTCGGATGCTGCCACTTCTCTTGACTCTGAAGGGTGTATCCAGGTGACCCTTTGTCTACCAGAGCCATTGGTCAAAACCAGTTGCAAGTTCCCTTCTGGGTTCCTCAACAAGTGGGAAGGCAAGACTAGTGGGAAAAGTGTTAAGAACAGCAATGACTGACTGTGCACCTTCTAGCTTCAAGAGAGGTTCTGTGGTAGACTTTGATACCAAGGCTTGCCTGACCTGAGTACTGCATGGTGACCTCCTTTAAAAATTGGGCAGTGGTGGTAATGGTTTACCTATGTTTTAGAATGAGAAGGCACCCTGCAAGCGCTTATGTCAGATGGAACCTCTTCATCTTTAAGATACCTTCTGCATCTTCACGTGTCTCAACAGGCGTACTGCTGCTCCTAACACAGAAAGCATTCTGCAGAACCAGCGTATGAGCCCCTTATGCCAATGTTTTTTGAAACCCAATCGTAGCACCCAGAAAGCCATCAGCTTTCCGCCAGTGAGTGCACCATCTTTCCTTCCATTATGGAAACAGAAAGGAACATAAATTTTAGAATCCCCTTCCACCTTTCCTAAGCCGACCTTCTTTCCACCCCTGGTTTACATGTATTGTGTAACTCTTTGAAAGACGACGGAGGAGTCAAGGTTAGCTTACAAGGGATCCAGAAAAGGCGAGAATGTCCTAGTGTTCACAACAGTGGCATGAAACTACCTTCACAGCGTGGTCTACACCCCTTCATTAGTGACCCCATACCTGCACCCACAAAGCAAGCAGGCAATACATGTATAGCTGCTTTTAATCCCCAAGATTTACTATGCCCTCCCTTGCAAGAGCAACAGGAAACTGTGCCGGTCAAAAGGAAAAGTGAAGGCTGTTCACAACCCCTTCAATCATTCTTAAAGCAGCCTCAGCAAGAAAACATCACCTCTCAGAGCTGGGTAAGGGCTTAACCCCTTGCCAGAGAAACCCATTTTTCCCAAAGGAAGAGAGAGAGAGAAAGAGAAAAGACAGTGAATGAAACTAACCAGCCCACGTGGCCAGAGTTCTCCAGGAAAGAGTGGGGGAAAACAGCCTCATTGAAATATGGCTCCTATACCAGTAGAACTGTTTCCTCCCACGCTTCCCTACAGCTCAGTTTGGCAAACCAGCTCCTCAGCAGGAAACAGCAGCTCAAACAGAGCTCCCCAAGAAACGGATCTGAACGAGATGTAAATACATGCAGGTAGGCTCCATCTATAAGCTGGCACAAGACACCCACGCTGCGCCAGGCCTTTTGGCATGCGAATGGTTCACTGCCAGGCGGTTTCCACCTGCAAGAGCATCTCCAGAAAGCTCTGCAGCAGAGGGTTCAAAAACGGTTGCCCAGAAACCGCATTTTTGAAAGAGGTGGTCACGTAAACTCAGTTTCTGCAGGTATGACGGAACCAAAAATAAACAGCTCTTGGCAACTTTTAAGACTTCGCAGATTTATTCCAGGATCGTCTCTGCCAAGACAAGACTGTGCAATCCACAAAAAGCCCACACTGAAATAAACCTTTCAAAGGCAACATCATAATTTTGTTCTTGTTTATACACTCCAGATGCTGTTGGGCAAAATCTCCCGGCAGCCAAAGTATCAAGGCTGTAGTAGCCACTTTAGTCTGGTCCTGCATGCATAACAAAAGCAAATGTGGGTGAAACAAAAGCAAAAGAGAAAGTATTTTGACACTTTCTCTTTCAATATAAACTTTTCAGACTTAAACATAAATCTGACCATAAGCCTGTCAGTCGGTTGATGATGGTTAGGCTGTGGTCTCTGAAAAGCAGATGGAATGGGTTTTTTTTTTTGAAACAGGGAAAAATTGGTTGCTTAAAAGCCACAGTTTTGTCAAGAAAACGATATACTGAAATTAAAACAGAGCTTCCCAGCTTCTGGTTTCCAGATGATTTGGGCTTCAACCTGCAAAAATCCCAGAAACACAGCCAAAACTCAAGGATTCGGGAAAATGGAGTCTGAAACATTCAGAGACATCTGAAGTGGCATCTTTAAAGGGTGCTGCAAAAGTCTGAATTGTCATGGCTTTGTTGTAAGCATGCAAACACACACATACTTCCCCTACGGGTGCCAGAAATAGGGAGGTCCACGTAAAACCATTCTCATGTTCACACCATGCCATCCTGGCTCCCCCCCCCACGCCTGTTCTCACAGGCCACAACCTTGCACACTGACACAGTGGGGATGATCCCTAATGGGGGTGGGACATGTTTTGAGTTTGTGTGCCTACACAAAGCTGCTGCTCACAAAGGGAGGAAACAACACCGTTTGCAACTCCCTTTTGTGCGTAAGAGGCCCATAAGCTTATAGCTCTCATCTCGCTTCCCAAAATTGGTGAGGTGCACCAACGCAGGGATGAAGACCAAGCAAGTGAACCAGGACTTAGCCAGCATGACCCTGCCACATAATGTTGTTGATGATGATGATGGTGATGATGATGATTGATGATGATGATTATGATAGTGGTGGTGCCCTCTCCATACCTCAGGGGTGTCCCCGTTTAACAGGAATTCTGGCCCACTCAGTAAATGCCACTTCCCTAGGGTTGCCATAGCAACATCCATCCTCTCCCTTCAGGGCCTACACAGGCTGCCAAGGCCCCGGGTTCCCTTTCAAGTCTTAGGCTTCCAGCTTGCATGTTCAAAACCCCAAACCCCTCCTCTCCTAATTTTGGCCCTCATGAAACAAAGCGCTGCTTCTTCTCCCCCCACCCCACCCCACCCCAGTGTGCCCTGGCATGCCGCAACCAGGGTGTCTCAATATGGACGTTCAGATCGGCAGCTTCCAAAGGGACACCTGAGTTCCAACCTGTCCGTAATGTAGAATGGCATGGGTTTTCTGATGTACAGTATGTGTTTTTAAATAAATTTTTTTCCTTGGTGTTATTCTGCAAACCTAACCACAATTTCTAGTGATACATTAGGACGGACCTTGCTCGAATTCAACTCAAGTCTGCCATTTTAAAATCCCGAAGAAGTCTGCAGGCTAACTGGTCACGATCAACAAAACAGGCTGGTTTAAAACAACACAGAGGCTTTAAACAACGCAAGGAGCATAATCCGAAGAAACACACCCCATGTAATGGATATTTGTTTTTTTTTTTAAAGAATCCAATTTTTAAAACTGGAATTGGATTTTTAATTTCGCACTCCACCCATCAAGATGAACCATCACAGTGGCAATACATATTTCACACTCAGATTACACCAATTTCTTATTCTAATATCTTTGAGGGGCAAAATCTGCTCTTTGGTTGTGCGAATTTTCTAGCATTCTCCCCCATTTCTGTTCCACTGAACCACATATACCATCTGCCTTTCGTTGCTTATTTAGGAAATACGTCTTCTATGTTGCCCAATTTCCCATACATTTTATGCAATATATTTAGAAGCTACCAAAAGAAGATAGTTGAACATTATGTTTTCTTCTCAGTATGGAATAATTATGCAAGACAGAAGGCAATCTGATAGCCTACCTAGAGGCTTAAAAAGGGCAGCAGGCCTGGAGAAATGCCTGAAGCTTAACACAATAAGCTGCAATCAGCTGCTGACTAAGGACAATGCGACTCTAAAAAGCATAACTGGGGAACTGATGTTGCAAACCAGCTTCTAAGCAAAAGCCATCTTAAGTCATGATTAAAATCTTTTTAACAGAATCCTTAAAGGTTTGCAACCACTTTAAACTCTGATGGAAATTCTATAACAAAGGGCAGAGGATTCAGTCCTTACACTGACCACAGAAACTTTGAGTTACAGCAATGTTCAACCCAATGCAAGCCTTGTACATCAGCTGGCCTGCGCCTTCATTCCCATCTCTTCTATTGCTGATGACCCACCTGCTCATATTCAAATTACTTGTTGTATAATTGCAAAATTCACGAGACACAAACCGAGAAAAAGAGGTAGAAGAGGTTAAGCCTCAAAATATTGATGAATACTGTACGTAATTACTCACACATCAACCACAGTACTTTCCACTCTGTTAGTTAACATGCATTAGTAATTGCTTTCAATTCATGAACAATTACATTACAATATCTAGACTTCGTTAGCCTTTAAGGTGCCACCCACTCCACTTGTTTCATTTTCACTTTCTGCTAACGAAAATTAAACACGGCACAATGCCATTTCTTGGGAATGAAAGAAGTGACATACAAAAAGTTTTGTAATGCAAGGTTAATTTTTTTAAAAAAATACGTTTTTATTCATCCCTTGGAACAAAAAAAGCTGGCCGATTATTCTAGCTGAATGCAGGTGACAAGTCACAAAGCACCTCATGAGAAATACTGTATAATAAAATATCAGTCCAAAATCTTTCCAAGACATTCTGACTGGCTCTTTAAAACCTATCTTATTGTCTTTTGCTGTTTTTTTGTTTTGTTTTGATGGTGTGTTCTGACATATTTATCTTTGTAGGTTACATTTAATGGTTTTAACAAATTCACAACCATTCACACAATTAAGAGTCACATGCACGCTCTAATCAGATCCTGGCATCAGTCTGTATTCTCTCCATCACCCCTGCCTCCAGGATAAAAAGGGGTTTCAAAATATTTTAATACTGTACATAAAGATGAAGTATACGAACAAGTTCAGATACACTAAAATCAGCTCTGCACATCTACCTAAAATTAGCACTTCTGCCCACCACTAGCCACCTCAAAATAATTTAATGATCCCAGAGAAATGATATACGCACACATTTAAAACCAATCCTGATTCAAAGATATAACTGTAGTTAACTAGTGATGTAACAAAACAACACATCTTGAGATAATTTGAATTATCGATGGTCCAGTGGGTCCCTTCAGCTCTGCAGTTCTAGGATTAATATTATAACTGTGGAATGTGAGAGAGAACAAAAAAAGGCTGTGGAAAATTTCCAAAAATACAGATTGATACAGGAATGTTATGGTTGGTTGAAAATTTGGGAGAAACTGAAGAGTACCCCATACTTACAGGTTGCATTCTGCAACCTTTGACGCTCAGCTGGTGGGCTTTTACTCCAGAAATTCCTGGGTTTTGGAACCTGTTGGCTTCCTTTTTTTTATCCTTCTGCAGCAATACTGTATTTTTACTGGCCCCTTGGGCTTGTTAGTGGAGACAATTTCAGCTAGTCACTGCTTTCATGTCATGTCCTAAGAACATCTAGTCTCCCCCCCTCCGCTCAGGAGCAAGGGAGAAAATACAGTACAAGTTGCAAACACAAACCACAATTTTTTTCTGTAAGGAAAATAAAGTATTATGCGGACCCAAACAATCTCATAAGGTCATACATTAGAGGACCAGCAATATATTTGAATATTCTGTTAAACACTCTGAGTAACACTGAAAATATCCATATATTGTACCTGGATGCAGGAAATACAAGAACATGCATTCTCCAGTGTATGAACTGGGAGATTTTGCAAATGCAATAATTATTATTTTTTTTTAACCAAAAAGTGAAGATCGCCAGCTAACACTAGATGTGAATAGCAGCTCAAACGGTGAATATATGTTAAGAATAAAGAAACAGATGTCTGCTTGCAGGCACCCAGCTCCAGAAATTTTCATTAGTGACACAAGTTTGGGACGGCAGGGTCGGGGAGAATGTATAACTTTTCTGCTGTTTTACATTTGGGAGTCACAAAAATTCTTGCTGTTCTACTAATGCTTTCCTCAGCTTCTTTCTGCCCACCGTTGTTTTAATGAAGTCTTTATATTCCACTTTTGAGTGAAGCACAACCTAACGTTAAAAAGCATCTCACTCATTCCAAAATGAGGAGAAAAAAAATCATCGTCCTTTCTCGCCTCCCCTCCTCTGAGAGAACAGTCCAATTTCCAGTTGTTGTTTTTTCCAGTTAGAAGAAAATTGAATAAAATCCCAGAGAGGCAATGGGGTCAGAAAGAAAACATTTCCGGGTCCTGGCCCTTCCATTTTTCTGGGTTTCGTCCAGACCATCATCTTTCCAGCCAGGCTCGGAGACTTCTACAAAATCAGCCATATCTTCTTTTTATTCCTCACGAGCAGAATAAAAATTACTTATAATCCAGCTTTTGCCATAACATCATTTAATAACCTATACAGTACTGTATTACAATCTGTTTTCCTGGACACTAGCTTTCTCATGTCTATTTGGTTTTTTTCCTGATTGTTACTAGTTTTATTTATTTCACTGTTTTAACACTGTTGCCTGGTCTGGGATGTTTATGAAAGCAAAAGTACAAATAAATAAACACGAAGCAGAGCTGCAAAGAATAGTAGCTAATTCTTTGTAGATTTGGCAGAAGTAGCCATGTTAGTACTGTACAGCTAATTCTATATATACACACACACAAACAGCGGAACAGCACGCACAAAACTGCTGCCACCATTATGCACAAATTGTGTTACTTGCTTTAAAGGGTCCGTTGCCTTGAACAGCTTGTTCTTATGTGCCAACAGGTCACTTCCAAAGTCCGGCAACCCTTTCAAGGTATCCAAGCCATGTGAGATGTTCAAGGGGCGATTTTACCAGGACTGCCTTCTCCACCAGCGAGTTCCAACGGCCAAGCAGGAATCTGAACCCGGGACAGCTCAGTCCAGGCCTGACATTCTGTCCAGCCTATTGACTCCACGGGCTCTTTGCTTGGGTCACCACTCCACCACCACCACCCCAGATTAAAAATCCACAGAAGTGAAATGCAACATCCTTCCTTCCATTCTCCTCTAAAGAAAAGGAAAAATTAATAAACGAGAACACACATATAATCCATCACCCTTTCCTTGATCCAGCTCAGCACCTCTGAAGGAACCATACAGACCGCATAAAGGCCTTCTTATGACCAAGCTGTTGGTCCTTTGAAAACGGAGAACAGCCCGTTCCTACTCGGAAACATGAGAGATCCATTTCAGGAGCATTTGTTAAAGAAGCCGGCTGGCCTCCGAGGCCCACCAAAGCAGAACCCACCATCTTGCAAAGACTGTACCTATTTTAACGATGGAGAATTAAGTTTGTGCAAAGACCTGTAAGAGAAAGTTGGACATTCTTGGGTGAAAAATATGCAGGTCTTGCTTGGCCCAACTGCCAGTGAGCAGCCACTTTTAAGTTATGCCATTTGCTCAGCTAAGGGGCAGGATTTGGGCCAGTGGGACTCAGAAATTCTAGCTTAAAACAGAATAATTCCTGCCACAGATGAGATCTTTACTCCCGACATGTTTGCATCAAAATATACAGCTGGTACTGTATTTAAAACTAATGCATCATGCACAGCTTCCTATAGATACCAAGCTTTCCCTCACTGGTGCCTGTACACTGTTAGCTTTCCAAACCACCCTATAATTTAGGTCAGGATTATTATCCCATTAATGCAAACAGTGGGCGGAAGTGGAGAAACCAAGCTAGACAGGAAGACGTGGGAGTTGAATTATTGACTACTAAGATTGTGCAGTTCTGATACTAGGCTACATGACATGAGGTCCCATCCTGAACATCTGCAGGGCAGCGGAAAAGTGCTGGGGGAGGGGGGAGAAGGTGAGTCTCTGCTTGCTATGGTGGAAACTGACCAAGCAGACAAGC